TAATTTCAGGTCCTACCCTCTTATATAACTCTTTACAATTTTTATTTATAGTGGAAATACAATCCTGATAATACTTTACAACCTCATCATCCTGCTGTGACTTGCTGGATAATTGGCTTACACTGCACAGATGTAGTATTTTTCGGCTATGCAAAATGATTAGAATTAATGTCAAAAATAATTAAAAATGCTATGTTAATGCATAAAAATGCACCATTAATGCACCATTAATGAAAAAAAATGCAGCATCAATGCAGAAAAATGCAGTGTTAATGCACATGCAGAATGAATGCAGAATTCCACCTTTTTCAATTTTTTTTGTCCTTCAGGTCAATCATTTTTCACTTGGGAAAAATACTACATTTTCCCAGTGTTAGATGGTTATGAACTAAATTAGTCCATGGTTGTATCAAATTGTCTTGAAGGACTGAGGTTAAAAGACTGACCATATGATCATCACTAGGATTCAATAATGATGGTGGTTGGATTGATGCCTGTTCCTGTCTCTCTTTGCTAGGAATTTTACCATAGAAATTTGAGCTTGTACTACTACTACCCCGCCTGAGTCCAAGATGGTCAATCTGTGATGTGTGTTGCATTGGAAATGTTGTCGTCAAGGGTGTTTGTTGAAGCAAATCAATTGGGCTTCCTTCTCTTGAAGGTACTGGTGCTGGACCTACCACAGTCATGTTAGCAGGACGGATAGATGTGGAGGTCAGAGGCTGGTACCTCCTACCTCTGGCTGGTGCTTGGCCACAAACCCTGGTTCCAATTGATTCACTTGATCTATTGATTGGACGTGCTGGATCACCATGGGTGTCAGGGTTGGTTGTTTGGGCTCTTTGACGTGATTGACTACGTGTTGAAGGACGTGAAGACATGACAAAAAGAATTTTTAGATGAAGATTAAATAATATAACAAAAAAATGGAAATTATTCTTGTATGAACAACTAAGACTTACTGGTCTGCACAATCCAAGTAGGAGTATATATAGCTCTGGGGTGGAGGAAGAGTATCCTCAGGTTCAATCTACCAGCTAAAGGCACCAGATATGATGTGTAGCCTCTTAATTGAGTTAAACTTGGTCCAATGGCTGGGGTGCTAAATTGCAAATGGATAGTACTAGGTGGAAAGTATTTTACGGATTTGGAGTCAATGTTTTGTATGCAATTGACAAGATCTTGTAACAAATCCTGATGGTTGTTGTTTTTAAAAGAAAAAAAAACTTCAGACAAAATGTAACCTAAAAGATAGATCAAAAAATTAAAAGTAACAAAATAAAAGAAGATTGTGTTACTATCACAATGTGTTAAAAATAACACTTGGAGTTTGCTGACTGACTGTTGAATAATGTTGTAGAACCACCGAGGAAATACAACAATTACTGGTATTTGAGTTGCTGGAGGATGCAAGTTGCTAGTCAATTGGTTGGATTTTATACCTTTGACTGCTCTTATTGCAAGTCACCAAACTTTACCTGAGAAAAAAACAACAACAGATGAGTCTTTAGTTTCTTGAATCAAGGTACTTTTTCACTTCTGTTTGAAGGGATTCAATTGGTGTTGACTCATATTGAATCCTGTTGATGGTGTGATTATTCTAGTTTTTGAAATCTCAAGCTTGTCTAGTGACACATAAGATGTTGTTGAGTCAGAGTTATAAAAAATGGGGTTTTCTCCAATGTATTCCAAATAGGGGTTTGAGGAGGGGGACTACACAATAGTCTTTGGCTTCAATCAAAAGAATATTCTAGAGTCTGATGTGACAACTAGGTAATTTTCCTTTCTGAATGCGTAATTTGTAATTGCTACAATTGAATCAATGAATTAGTTAGTTCTTGAGCTAATTTATTTTGTGCTGGGGTGTTTATTTGAAAAAATAGAATCAATGTTTCAATTGTAATCTTTATTTCAACTGAAATTTAAGATAGGCTATGTCAATTGAAATTTAAAATAGTGTTATTTCAATTGAAATTTGAACTGGTGTTATTTCAATTGAAAATTGAACTGGTGTTATTTCAATTGAAATTTGAAATGGTGGTATTTCAATTTAAATTTGAAATTGTGTTATCTCAATTGAAATTTGAACTGGTGTTGTTTAAATTGAAATTTGAAATGTACTTATTTCAATTGAAATGTGAAGTATTTTTGTTTCAATTGGAATTTGAATTGATGTTATTTGAATTGAGAGTTTGAATGTTGTTGTTTAACTTTAATCTAAAATAAAAATGGGGTGTGTAATAATTTCAAATTGAATTTGAAATGGAGGAAATAGGGCAAAACTGGTATGTCACTCTTTTTGTAAAAAGAATGTGATCTAAACAAGTTGAGGAGGCAAAGAACAATGCGATCTTAAATGAATAAAAGCAAAAACAAGGATTTTAGGGGTGATGCACACCACCAATATTAATCAAAATAGGATCAAAAGAATCCTAATTTTTTTATTTGATTTGTTTATATTGTTCAGAAGGAAAATGATTTATGAGAATAGCAGAGACTGGTCTTATCTTCTAGGATGATGGAGGAACAAAACACCGATGAGGCCCCCAAGTTGTGAGGAGTATGCGTCTGTTAGGCGTACTCCTCACAGAAAATAGAGTAGGAAAAGGAAGGTGCAGTCTTCACCTGGTA